TTCCTCCAAGGGTTTTGCACGAACCGCATGGGCCGAATCTTTACCACAGCCCGGAAACGTTGAAAGACTTGGCACCGCCTGGGTGTAGCATTTTCCTCAACAGCAACTTGCATTGCATGTTGCTTCAAAGGTTAGTTGAAGGTTAGTTGCAACTTTTTGCGAGCCTGAGCCTACCTTGTTTTTTGCTTTTGCCTCCTTCAATCAAAAGCCCTTGGTGGTGTGGCTGCTCAGGCAATGACCACAGATGGACTGCCAAGTGGCCTCCCGGGCTGACTGATTGCAGGTCGTTCAGCAGAACATTTGACTACAAGCAGGCTTCAAGCTGGAGGACAATGTTGGAGATTGTGCATCAAACAGCCTGGAGCAAGTACAGGTCTTACAACCAGAAGAAAGGTTTCTTGACTTGGACTTGTGTTTCTTGTTCCGGTCGCTGTTTGTTCGGTGCTTAGTCAGTCTATTGACTGAAGGAGTCCATGTTTTTGCAAAGTGTTGCTTGCTCAGGGTACGAGCTCCCGCCTGACCGTGTGCAAACGCCAGGAGTGATTCCTGAAAGCCTGTTTGTAAAGCTGGCTAAGGATGTGGATAAGCTTCCAGCCAAAGTAAAGTTTCCAAGAAAAGGCTGATCAGGCTGGCTGACATGGCTGATGCCTGTGCAATTTTCGAGCAAAAGAAAAATTGTGCGTTCACTCAATGCCCCCCCTCAGCTGTTGCCATGAGTCCCTTGTTTTTAATATGTTTTAACCTCAATTCGAATTTCAGCTTGGCTTTGTGTCTTTGGGTGTCACACGTGGCCTCAGCCAGTCAGATGTTGTCAGTGGTCGCATGTCTTACACATGGTAAGGTGTAGAAAACAGCCGGCTCACAACGTTTTGACATCACCCACGGAAACACCAAGTTTGGCGACCAATAGTATAGGCCAGCCCAGCGCCATGAAAGGCAAACGATGCCAGCCCAAGTGGCTTGCAAGTCCTGCCTGTCCTCAGCCGGCAGCAGCATGGTTTCCCATGGTTGCGATGGCCATGATGATGGCGCAGTCAGCTTCAAAGTTGAAGTTGGCCAAGACAGCCAAGAAGAAAAAGCTACCCAGACCTGAGCCTGAGCGAAGTTCAGTGGCACCTCACAATGTTGCAGTTTCTGAGCGAAGTTCAACAGTGGCCCCTCACAATGTGGTCTTGGTGGCGCCTGGTTCTGGGGTTGGCGTCAATGAGACTGAGAGCCAGCTTCGCGCTAGCGAAGACCCAGTCTTAACACAGATGTTTGGAAAAGCTTACCAATGTCAACTCCACGACTTCCTTCCCTGGTCGTCCTTGCCGAGGTTTGACATAATTGTTTTCACTCAGCTGTTACCAGAGTTTCCAGCACCTTCATGTTGAATTTTGGTAGGGCCTTCATGGGGTTGGGTGGCGTTGTGTCTTGTACAACATGTTGCTAGTTTGTCTGCGCGTCTGCTCCCTTGTGCAGGTGCTTTCTTCCAGCAGAAGCGGACTTGGTGACGCACTATGAGACTTTGATCAACGACTTTTTGGCAGCTGATGCAAGCGTCAACAACGGTCAGGCAGCATGTCTCTGGCCACAAATTTTGGCTATGTGCTACCCGGCGCTTGCTTGCAAACCTCTGGTCCACATGATGCTCGCGCTTGTTTTCAGGGGTCTCAGAAACCAAGCAACTCAATGCAGTGGGCATGCGCTGGACTTTGTTGAAGTCTTCTGTGGAGAAGGTTGGCTGACCTTTGAGATGCTATCGGCTGGCTGGAAAGGCTGCGGCTTCGACTATGTTCACAGCACCTCGCATGACCTTCACACATCCCAAGGTGTCAGACTTATCCTGGACTCAGTCTGCTGTATTCGCAAGTTTGGTTTGTGCTGGCTTGCCACCCCATGTAGCAGCTTCACTGTGATGTGCCGCCATCAGTCGGCACGTTTGCCTGAGAACGGATACCTTGGACCAGAAGATCCGTACCAGTTTGTGAAGGATGGAAACGCCCTAATGGAGTGCTCAGCGCTGGTCTACTTCGTGTGCTACCTGTTGTCAATACATGTGACCTTAGAGCAGCCTACAACTTCCGTCATGAGCCTTTGCGCCTCGCTGAAGGGAGTGCTGTTCTTCACCAATGCCGTGAGGTACAAGGTGTACATGGGAGCTTACAATGGGCCTACAGTGAAACCACTAGAACTGTGGTCGACTTGGCCATGCATAGGTGGTTTGGAAACAGGCCGTCCAGACATGCCTGAGGCTGAAAGCCTGGTGTGTCGCTCTCGGTCTGGGTTCACTGGACGCAAGGATCTTTTGCAGCAGAGCCAAATATATACACAGGAATTTGGCAGAGCTGTTGCTGAGATTTGTACGAGAGAATGGGCTTGAGCCAGGCCTTAATTTAGTTTGGGTCCTCAGTGTGTGCGCTCAGCGAAGAGGGCTGTGCTTTTCACACACTCGCGTGTGGGATGAAAAAGGAAATTGCAGCAAATGCACTTGTCATTTTCAATGAAGAGCCTCGAAAGTACTCGAATTTAAGCCACTTCACTCTCTAGCTTTGATACTCTTCAAGATGAGTCTTGTACTGCTGAGGTGGTGCCTGGACTTACCCAGATCCAGCGGATGCTGTCATCGTTTTTGCTCTGTTGTGGTCAGCTGTTAGACATGACTGACACGACGTTGTGTACGATGTGCCCTCGTCCTGTTAAGACTAGATCCTTCGTGACCCACCGCAAGTTCACCGTAAATCCACCTGTATCTAAATGAGTTAACCACATCCATGTACATTATCATTGAGATATTCTGTTTTAAAATGGTTTGAAATGAAATAACATGAAAAAAACATTGTTTTTCTGTTTTTCTAGTGGTCAAACCCCTACTGATCTAACCCCTACTGATCTGACCCACCATTTAGTGTCAATGAATCAAGGAACAATCGAATTCGAAGAGATACGAATTAAGCTTAAGGCCTTTTTCTTTCTTGTGTCCAAAGGAATTGGGCTTCTTCTTCGGATCTTTTTCTTCAGTCTCCTTTGCGTTCTTTCCCTTCTTGTTCTTCCTGTTCTTCTTCTTCTTATTTGTGTTCTTCTTTCCAGATGGCCTAATTGGCAAATTATGCAGATTCTCTCCCCTCCCAAATTGTTTGTGCACACGTTAACGTCTACATATCGCACATGTTTGCCATGGTGCTTGGTGGGTTCAGGTGTTTCCTCAACCTCATCTTCGGAAGATGAGGAATCGGATGCTTGATGCTCTGCCCCATCTTGCTGTTCATCTTCTGATTCCTCAACCTGACTTTCCTCTTCGTATACCAGGTATTGAACCATCTCCTGGAGACGTACTTAAAACGTTTCAATCATACACACACACTAGTACTAGTACTGGAACCATATCATTTCAGCATATGCATGCATTTCTATATATACAGGGACACTAGGTGATATTAAGAGATGAAGTCCTCACGCTTCGGGAATTCGGGGTGATTTCTCCATTGACCGGAATCACGCTTGGCGTTGATGAGCTCTGCCACCAGTTCAACGTTGTTGTCATACCTTGGAGCTTGGAGTGACACCGTAGATAGCAACCTGAAAACAAGACAAATCTGGTTATATGAGTCTAGATGCTGAATCAACAGTTGAGCCTTTGTTTTCCAAACCTTCTTTAGGCTTCTTCGGTGTCTAGCTGTGTGGATTATGTTCGACCATGTCCGAGACCGCTTCCACTGCCCCTTGGACTGAAAGAAATCTTCGTATAGGTCTGACATTTTGCCTTTGTCTTTTCCTTAGTGTGCACATGCGCCGCAACATGATACAAATATACATGTACATGTGCTAAGCTGGAAACGTGCTCGTGCTCGCGTTGCCATCTGTCTGATCTTCCACGGTGTCTTTTTGCCTTATAAGAGTCCCCCCAAATGCATAACATACAAAAAGTATATGTACGCACACAGAATTGAGGAGGCGGCTCTGCAGACTCCGCACGAACCGCATATAGTGTTTGCGCCGGGTGGCTTGTTGTTCGTCGGTGAGTTCACGGTCGATTTCATGGTCTTCAAAGTCTGCATCGAGACCCACTGAAGTGGGAATCTCAGATGTGGACACCCGGTTCAGGACTGCTGCAGCGTGATCCCTTCCCAATGAAGGTGCTGCTTTGGGCTTTGCTTTTGCTGCTGCTGTTCCTGCTGCTTTGGGCGCCGTCTTTGGATTGGGCTCCTTTGGTTCTGCTGCCTTCTTGGATTTTTCAGTCTTGCCAGTGCTAGCTGAAGGTGTTTCTGTTGCTTTGGGTCCTGGAGCAGCTTTGGCTTTGGCTGCTGCTTTGGGTTCAGTGTCAGTTGGGGCCGTCTTTGCAGGGACTGATGCTTTTGCTTTGGCTTTGGTCTTTGCAGCGGGCTTGGTAGGAGGTTCTGTAGCTGCTGGTTTGACTTTGGCTTTGGACTGGGGCTTTGCCTTCCCTACATCTGAATCACCAGACTTGCTGCGTAGCCGACGAGGTGGTGGAGGTGGTGTGGCTTTGGCTTTACTGCTGGCACTAGTGCTAGGGCTGCTTGCAGAAGCTGTGGCGCTGGCATCAACCTTTGGGGTTTTTGCTGCCCTCTGCGAAGGTTCGGGTTCTTTCTCTTGGATACGCTTATTAAGCTTCTGATCGGCATCGGTCGGGGTGCCTGACGTTGTCTTCTTGGGGGCTGGTTCTGGCACGGATTGCTCTTCTTGTTTCTTGCGCTTTGTAGGTCTTTCCTCCGGTGTGGCCGGGATAGTCTCCACTGATGTTCCTGCAGGTTTGCGAATTGGGTTGAAGTCACTACAAGCGCTAACGTTTAACAATGGCCTGATTTCAAAGAGGCGCCACCCTTAAGCTTCGAAGACCTCAGATCTAGTCGACACTATCAGCTTAAATTAGCATGCGCAAGCGCGCGTATACGTGACACATATATCTCAGCTTCACACTTTGCCTTCTTTACCATCTTGTCATCAAAAGGGTCGTATTGATCCCCTTCTTCCCCCGGGCCCGGCGCTGGTGTCATATCTAGGAGCTCCCGGTGGCACTCTCCAGCACTCTGAGGCTGGAAAGGGTCTTACAAGTCGACCTTGAGATCAAAAAGGTAACAGTTCATACCGGTTGAGAATTGTTCAAAAAAATTGGCATGTCAAATCACGGTCATTGGCTGTCATTTAACGGTCATTGGCTGCCAAATCACGGACATTGGCTGCCAAATAACGATCATTGTGTTTTTCACTTTCCCAGCAGGATATCGATCAGCGCACACTCGAAACGAGTTGAATCGTGCTTGCTGCAAATTTGGGTGCAATACCCACACCAAGATCTTGTGTGGGAAATGATAATTAGGCTGTGCCCGCCCTTCATGTGAACCACGAACTCATGAACAAGTATTGCTAGTGTCGACTACTTGGACTAGAACAGGACCTCGACCGATATAACTAGCGGGCACGAGGCTTGGTCAGCTTGAACTGTGGTGTAAAGGAACCATTTTGATATTGTTCCCACAAAAACACCTCGGGCTGCCGCAGGTTCGCATCATTCCATCCATTCGGGGCTTCCTGCGCACGCGAATGCGAGGCAGGAATCCTGATCTGAAAGGGATGTCTCTAGTCTAGAAGCTGGGTTTATGTTGGCTCCTGCTGCGGTAAGCTATGAGGATCCACTGTCAAAGGTTCCAATACCTGCCAAACAGCTAGTTGGTATAGTGCACCTGCTTAGGGCACACACTAGGGGACACATATATGACAAGACCCACATGTACGTATGCGAGCCTGCTGCCTTTGCTGTAGGTGGACAACCTTCTTTGCAAAGCGCACAGGATATGCTTGGGTGGCTTTGAGGTCTCTGCCTCCAGTCCTGAAGTGTGTTCCCAACGTGGCATGGACCACACAAAATCTCAACTAGCTAGCATATATAGTACGTACCTATACACGTTAATGTCATGAGTCCAGCCCTCCTAGCCAAAATGGATCCAAGTAATATGCACACGTTCCTTAATTAAATCAAGCTTCACATTCAGTTTGGGTGCCTTTCCACGGGCACCTTTCTTGAGATGCTTCTTCGTAACCTGGATCCCTTTCCTCTCTTGATTTTCTCTAAGCCGATCCAACCTAGCTCGTGTCATTCGGTTCCGGAAGGTGGCAATGGGTGGCCTGCAGCGGTCGATAGAGGCTGACTGGGATCCGAGGGTGGGGTCTTTGGGGCCGCGGCCAGGAGCCCCAGAGTTGAGTTGGCTTGGCACTTACAGCTCCCAGCAAGCCCATCCACCTTGATTGGGGAGGCCGGGTTCCAGCACATGCTGGTTGAGGGATTGCAGTCCACACCCAAAAGCTAAGTGGAATTACTAGATCCAGACTTTGTATATTATTCCTCAATTGAGTTGAGGTATGTCTAGATCCCCTGTCAACACTAGTGGGTTGCCTGCCATCCAAATATCGACTCCAAAATTCAATCCCTTAACTCTAGGGCCGCTGACATTCGGATGAAGACCGTGTTGAGCTGGGACAAGTTCAGCAGGTAGCTGTAGTAAGGCGTTTGAGGCAGCAGGCTGCTGGAGGGCTGCTCTATCGCCCAAAAGACGTTGCGCGAGATAGCAACTAGCACCAACAAACAAAATCGGCTCAGGACTAGGTTGCTGAGCTTTGTCACTTCTGAGTCTGGGTCTCCCATGATTCCGTGGGGATACACATTGCGTTTGCTTGTTCCCCTGCTGATGAACACAAGGAGGGAACATGGTACCCCCCCCAAAGGAGGGAAGCTGGAGATAGGCGCAGCACTGCCTTGAGCGCGTACAAGAAGCCGCTCCTGAGTCGCCAGGGCAGTCTTCATGATGGAACAACATTAAAATAGCTGTGAGGGCAGAGCACTGTGGTGATGTCGTTCATGTGTCCACGGTGGGAATCATAATCGTACCAATCCCTGCAGTCCAGGATCCGGAGTTGGTCAATTAGAATATTTTAAAGGCCACGTACTGAAAAAGATTCCAAGGGCCAAACGTTCTGAGCCCAATGCAGCCTTAATGTACAGACTTGCTTGAGATCCATATATATCATTTGACGGTATTGTTGCCAGGTGCCAGTGCCTACACAAAGCACTAGCCTGAAATGTGTGGATGCTCAGCCCGGAACGGCCTTCGTAGGCAATCCGTGTTGTCCCGGAAAACATCTCAAATAGTTCCAGGTTCTTAGCGCAACCGCAGGCCGGTTGGTTCATGCATATATTGAAGTCGGGTTAATTCGAGTTATAAGGAGATCTCAGTTCGCTGCACGTCGGGACGTTTGTGCATCATGGTCGCAGATCTGGGTGACATAGTCACAAAGGTGCAACCTCACAATCCCAGCATGTTGTGACCATACACACGTGCGTGTGAATTTTACCTTGAGTTCAGGTCCTACTAAGCATCGGGCAGGATCGTGGGTGCTGCTAAAAGTCCCAGTATCGTGGCAGCACGGGAAGACAGGGTCAGGGGATGTGGTGCCATGTGACCGAATCGTTGAACAATCGCTGGCCCCCTTACAAATTTAAACCTCAAGCTGCGCGGAACCCTGAGTCAAAGTTCATCAAAACAGCTCGAATGTGTCAATATGCCTGGCTAATGTGGCTAAAGCACACGTGCAATTGTGGGCGTTCGAACAAAATTGGTCATGGACCTGGCGCACGTTTTCACGGTTAGCGTTCCACCATAAGGCTCCTGGACAGCCTGCATCGACTGCCCCCCCAAACCCATGAGAGTGCTTCCAGGACACCGCCGCCGCTGCGTTCACTCAAATTTGGAAACCAAGGTTTAACTAGCTCCGAATTCACATGTGGAACTGACGACCGAAGGTGTCCTTCACTCGATCCCCAAAAGCAGGAGCCGTAGCATGTTGTTTAGCTCCAGATCCTGATGCACCACTGGTACTAGTGTTTCTTGGGGTAATCTGTACATGTGTATGTCCTTAAACGTTCAGTATTGGCACCTGTCACCTGTGCTAAGTGCATCTCTCAGCAAAACTTAAAAGCTAGGCCTCACGAGAAAGCAACCAGAAGTCAGCCCTGCACCCTGCACCCAAGATCACCAGGAGTTTGGTTAGGTTTGGACATAGTCAGTGAGGGTGAAACAAAAATGATCCTGAATATGTGTACGTATTTATTTGCCAACAATTTGTATTCTTTATTGTTGGGATATCTGGGTGTCAGGGCACTAGGGTGATTCCTGCGAGGGAAGATCAGTGGGAGCAATCAGCTCCTCAGAGCACCAGCCTGCCACTCTGCGAGCAAGACACCACCTTACAAGTTCTGGCAGGTGCTTTTGGAACCTGATGATTTGCTGTTGCTTTTTTACTTTGAGACTGCTTATAAGCAAATTAGAGCTGAGACACCCTTGTTCACATCCGAACTGCTTGATGTTAATTGAACAACCTTCTTTCCGATTGATTGAGAGCTTCTCCTGACGCACCAACGCTTCCAATCCTGCCGGGACCTTGTTCACGTAGTAGGTGAAGGTCTTGGTCGACGTTTTCGGCCTAAGCAGTCATCCAAAAGAACAAAGGGGCCGGTGGAATGCAAGTTACCCTCAATCCAAGTAAAGGGCTGGTATGCACAGATCACTCCAATGGATTTGCGCCCCATGGCCAGGCATTCAGCAGGTGGCTGGATAGTGAAAGACCTCCCAAATTTTCATGTATTGCAAAGACTAATCTTGTGAACACAGGCAAGAGCCAGCCTGGACTTACTTGACACATCCTCCGGCACTCTGAGGTCTTGAAGTTCCAGACTTCGAAGGTGCTCAGCAACCTGGCCAGTCATCGAGGACAGAATTTCAACCGGGCAGTTCATGTTGACTCAATTCAAATTGAATTTCCAATAAGAAAATAATCATGCATTATAAAATACCCTGCCTCAGCAGTATCCATCGAGTCTATCTCACTGGCAAAAAGTTTGCGCTTGCGCCCACAATCACCAGATTCAGCAGGCTTAACTGGCTCGGCTTTGCGACGCTTTTTGCTCCTGCCTTCGTGGTCACTCCCCTTGGCCGCTTCCACTGGCAGATCCACAGATCTGGCTTTCCTGGACTTGGTCCTAACGTTAGGCGTAGAAGGATCCTGCAGCTCTTCGGAGACTTCCGCTACAGGTGCATCGGGTGTTGGAGGTTTTTGAGTACGAGTACTAGTGGTGCCAGTGGCTTTGCCACGGCCACGCCCACGGCCACGTCCCTTTCCACGCCCCTTCCCCTTCGATGCCTTAGCCTGAGCAGGCACCTTGATCTGCTCACTCTCCTGGGGTTCTGTTATGAGCTTCCTGACCTTTTCTTGGGCCTGGAGATCAATTTTATGGCTAGCACTTTCAAGTTAAAGGTCGACTGATTTACACTCGCGCACACTCTCTCACTCGATCAATTGAACATGAAGTCGGAAGTACTTGTACTAGTGAAAAAACAGTTTGAATGTTGCATGGTGAGGCTGATGCTACCTGGCCTTGAGTAAGGCCTCTTTTGTGTCCTTGGGTTCTACCTGCATCGAGTCTAGAACTGCCTGCACAATCTTCTCACACTGTGCAGGCACTCGGGCTGGCTGTTGTACTAGGGCTGACCGGTCCTGGAAGCATGTTGGAATTGCCCACTTTGAACTATTAGCGAATTCAAATTTGGAATTGAACAATTGACCTGTTCCTAGCAAACGTCTACTGTCCTTAAACGTTCCCTTCACCAGTTTTCTTTTCTTTCCTCCAACTAAGACCTCAGCTTCTGGATCACTTTCATATAGCTCAATACCCTCCACTTGTGTCTCCACGTTGTTCGGGTCAAAGCGGTGCTCCTGTCAAAGAAGTGTCGCTGGCATACTAGGTGCTACTAGTACTGACTAGTACTACATGTCACATCAATTAACCCCCAACCCCTAGGCCCCAGTCCTTCTTGTTCTTGGCAGTCACCAAGCTGTTCTTTCTGAGCAGAGCCCTTGCAGTGGCCTTGCACGGCCGCCAGGAGATTCTCCGATTCAGTGCATGGTTTTTTGCTCGAAGGAACTGCTTTTTCTCCTTTTCAAACACTGCTTTTGGTTTGCCACATCTCTGAAAATGTCGCTTCACTTTGAACTTTTCCCACCCCAACCACACCTCTCCATCCACTTTCTCCTTAGCTTCATTCTCCTTGCCAGCCTCTTCCTCACTGTCTTTTTCCTCAGCCTCCTCGGCCTCTTCAGGTTCATCCTCCGTTCCACCTTCACCTTCCTCTTGATGCTGAGGACTTGCAACTCCAGCGCTGGCTGCCTCTTTCTCCTCACTGCCCTCTTCTGCGTCTTTGTGATCATCGGATTCCTCATCCTCCTCCTGAGCAGCCTCCTCTGCATCCTCTCCCCTTTCTTCCTCCTCCACTTCAACTCCTTGAGGCTCCTCCTCATCGCCCTCTGCTGCTTCGCCTTTTTCTTCGTCTTCCTCCTCATTGCCATGGTCTCCTTTGCCACCCTCCTCATTGCCATCTTCTTCTGCTGCGCCATCCCCTTCCTCCACTTTGCCCTCTTCTGTTTCGCCCTCCTCTTCGCCCTCCTCTTTGCCCTCCTCTTCACCCTCCTCTTCGCCCTCCTCTTCACCCTCCTCTTCGCCCTCCTCTTCGCCCTCCTCTTCGCCCTCCTCTTCTCCTGCTCCAATGCCCTCTTCTTCTGCCTGCTCACCTTCTGCTTCTCCGTCTTCCTTGCCCTCACCTGTGCGGTCAGGAACCTCAATCTCAGGATCAATCTCCAAGGGCTCTTCTTCTTCTTCGGACTCGCCACCCTCTTCATCCTGCTCCTCTGCATCTCCTTCTACCTCCTCATCATGTTTTGCATCCGCTTCCTCTTCTTCTAGATCTTCTTCTTCTTCTTCAGCTTCTTTTTCTTGGCCTTTCTTCTTCAAATCCTCTTCTTCTTTGCTTTTGGTCTTCGGGTCTTCTTTTTCCTCATGCATGCGCATATAGTTTTCTAGATATCGATCTTTCGCGACATATCACAACCTTGTTCAAGAAAATTAAACTATATCTTGGCATTAAAAAGCTTGGGCTCACACTGGGCCAGAGGCTGTGCTGCTAAAGCTAGATCGGCTGGACACACCTTAAGGGTTGTGTGAACAGAGAGCACTAGTGATCTAGATATATCTAGATATTCAAAACCCCTCAAAATTAATTTGACTGCCATTGCACATGGGGAACCACTGAGTTGGGGACCTCTGTCTCCGGAAACATATCTAATGACACGCTTGATTTCCACCATTTCCAGGTAGAAAGGTCCACGCCTAGGAGCAAGTTGCACACTTGAAGATCCATTTTTGTTTTGAGTTCTTACGCATTAATGTTGAAAAATCCAACACTGCAGGATTGCACCTGGTGTCTACAGATCGCCGCTCCACAGTCTTGATCTCAGAGATCAATGCACGAAACTCCATCGCAATCTCCGCTGCTTCAGCCTGCGCACCGAGACGTCGAAGCATTTCCCTGCACCATACCCCAGGCCCACCTGTTTGTCATTTTTGAGCTTTGCATTCAGGAAGTTGTGGTGCTCATTGACCTCCAAGATAACAGCCTCGCTTTGTTGGAGCTCGGGGGTTCCTTTAAAATCACATGTACAGCTGCACACATGTATGTACATGCTACATGTCCACTGTCTAGCTTAAATGGCTCTAGCTCACAAGACACGTGTTCTAACGAGCCGAGCCTGCAACTCTGTTTGTGTAGGAGTGCTTCGGCCAAAGCGCTCAAACCACAATTTCAACCGGGGGTAATTGGCGTGCACCTGCGCACTTCATGCAGCTGGCTTGTTGCAAGTCTCAGGTGGAGAGACAGTGCACTGGTGCTATGTTGTCCGGCCTGATCCTCAATTTTTTCATCCAAGCATTCGACCCGGAGAGAGAACGTTGGAGGCTCCTACGTAGGACGCATATGCATATCAATATGCACCACCCTATAAGCTTAATCTTCCAGAGGAGAAATTATGATCATGAGTAGGATTTCGCACTTGCAGTCAAAATTTGTGATCAGGCTTGGAAAAAAATGTTCTTCAACTCACTCCAAAATGGCCTCTTTCGATGCTTTCTTGGCCCATTTTTGCCTTTTCTTCAGCTCCATGATGGCCGTTCTGTCCAGGATCCGGGCTTCATCCATCCATTCCTGGCGATGCGTGAGTTGGTCATGCCCTCAAAGCATGCAGGAAGTTTCATGAGGGTGGCCTCATGATACATATAAATGGACATAAATGATTCAACATGGCAGGTGTGCAAAGATAGACTTGAGATTTGCATACTTGCAGTGCCGGCTGGCAAAAGCAAACTTCATTGGTGCTTCAACCATGGCCAAAAGAGTCTACAACGGCCGCACGCGTGGCTAGCTCTTGACCCTATCGGACAAAATAGGCAACACCAAGAACTCTCGAAGTGCACGTTTGCAAGTTCACTAGAAAAAACGTGCTGCAGCCGATTCCAAGGCTGGTACTATGCTTTGCAGCCTCACCTGGGGCGAAGGGCAAAAAGGAATACCTGTGCCTGCTTCAGGGACGTAGGAAGCTTCAAAAGCTGAGCAGTGGACGTGATCGTCTCCAGCGGGCCCGATACATTTGGCCATGCGACTGATGTGCATATTGATTTCAAGAATAGTTGAAACAATTTGTTTGCTTTGATCCAACTCTAGGTTGATATGGGGATTCCTTGACCCACAGTCGAAATGCATGCCTTTGAAAACTAATTGTGCAAATAATGAGCTTCGGGAACCAAGCCCATCATAGCCCATCGATCGATAATATGTCAATCGTCGCTAAGTTGACACCATTGCACCTATCGACTGCGCAGAACACAGTCATAGGAGTGTCTGGGTGTTAAAATTGATCTTTTCCGAGATTCAAAGCTAAAAGTACACCAGCCGGTTCAGCAAGAGCTGTCCGGCCTTTTACTCGGTCCGCTTGAAGACCCCTAGGGATCCCAGTCCCTTCTCAGAAGCTACTTAGACCCTCCAAACCTACATAACAGTGTCTCCAATCACCTTCTGAGAAGGTACTTGGATCATCTTGGATTCCTATATATGGGACTTTAAACATTCTGTTCATGTATATGTTTTTTTTTGCATCCTTGTTCTTTGTCCTTGACACAGGTTCGAAAACAGAGAGCCAGCCTGGCTACTATCCTCTAAATCACCCATATCTAGGCACCTGAGTTCGATCACATCCAGTGACACTCCTCGAGATCGCTGGGGTCTTGAAGTTCGGCCCCTTAAACGACCCTCAAAAACAAAGGCTGTGAGGGCCCCCCCCCCCCCCCGAGGGTTCGACTCAGGTGTCGGGTCCAAAGCTAGGTTTTAGAAGATCGCCACCGGGTGAAGCGATTCCATACCCCAGACACTCCATGCGACTGGCATGGACTGGCATGGTTCTTTACCTACATACATTCACGTCCCCAGTCCCATGGCAGACACATGGTCAAGTTCCTCTTCCAGCTCTGACCCAAGCACGGACTTCTGATCTCATAGAAAAAAGGAGTTGCAGAAAGCTAGTCAAGTTCTGAGGTGCGTCACAAAGCTCTGACCCACGTGGACCACCAAACAACATCTTTTGATTTGTGATCTTCCACCAAAGATGCTTTTACATGCAGGGAAACTGCTAACTTAGCAGTTCTTGTGTGTAAAGGGCCCAACACCTGAGAAAGCAAAATGAGTAAAACATAGTAAAACATGACTTCGAGGTATTGCAAGAGACACGTTTTTTAAATGCCCAATCATGGAGTGTTTGGGCACTGGTCCAGGTAGCTCCTTACTTGGTTTGAACGGAGGTTAGTGACTTCGTACTTCCGTGCCACGACTGGTCGACCTGAACTGGGGCCGAAAGCTAGCAGGACATTGAAGAAACAGATGGTGCTGGACCCTTGGGGATTGTTTAGGTCTTAGCTTTTTGAACCACACCACTTCCAACGACCCAGGTCGAAGTTTTTTTGGGGTAATGGAGGACTTTTTCAACCTGGACACACCCACTGACCATCGTTTCGAGATATGGTTTCTGTTGACGGAGCGATGCCAAGGAAGGATGTAAAGATCTACTACTTCAATCTTCGAAAGGAAGCAAAAGAAGGAAAGTTTTTGCAAGAAGACCAGGCCAAAGACTCCAAGGACAGCTGCCACAAGCTGCTGAACAAGTCGGTTCTCTTCAAGTCACGGGCAAAACGAAAGCTATGAATGTTTTAGTGGGGATTACACATAGGCCGTAGCTCAGACGTCAACCGCGAGCAAGAGCAGCAAGTGGTCACTTGAAGATGGCGTCAGATGGCGTAAGTACCAAGATCGTGAATCCAAAATACGTTTGTAGAGTATCACTATTTTTGAGAAATGCCTTCAACCGTAATCACCCACTCTTATTGGTAAGGGGATATATACACCCAAATTATACGTCCAAACGAGCTCGTTCTTCTTCGATGTCCTTTCCTAATATATATGTTGACAAGCTCAAAAGCTTGCAAACACCGTTTGTTGTGGAGTTTCGAGTGCAGTACCCGATCCATGCATGTGCATACATTGACCCCAGGTCAAGCATCCCAATGTAAATAGGCCATACCCAGGACCCGACGCCTCGATCAGAGGTGATCATGGTTCGGGGTGTCCAAAACACAACCGTTTTTTTAAAACTATCCTTGACATGGTCCGAGGATACCTAGTACACCAGGGAAACAATCGAGGCGGCCGACGGAGCGGCCCTTCCCGCCGTTGTCCCCACTCTCTCTCTCTCTCACTCACTCTCACTCACTCTCTCTCTCACTCTCACTCACTCTCTCTCTCACTCAGTCTCACTCACTCTCTCTCACTCTCACTCACTCTCACTCTCTCACTCACTCACACACTCACACTCACTCACACTCACTCACACCCACTCACAGTCTCACTCACACTGGCACTCACAGTCTCACTCTCACTCACACTATCACTCACACTCCCACAACGCACCCTATCACTCACTCACCCACTCACCCACTCACCCACGCACGCACTCACTCACTTACCCACGTACGCACTCACTCACTCACTCGCTCACTCACTCACTCACTCACTCTCTCTCTCTCTCTTTTTTTTTTTCTCTCTCTCTCTCTCTCTCACGCACACTCTCACTCACTCTCACTCTCACTCTCACTCTCACTCTCACCCTCACTCACTCGCACTCACTCTCACTCACTCTCACTCACACTCCCACTCACACTCTCACTCACTCTCTCACTCACTCTTACTCACTCTCACTCACTCTCACTCACTCACTCACACTCTCACTCACTCTCACTCTCACTCTCATTCTCACTCTCACCGTCAGTCTCTCACTCACTCTCACTCTCACTCACACTCTCACTCACTCTCACTCACTCACACCCACTCACACTCTCACTCACACTGGCACTCACACTCTCACTCACACTGGCGCTCACACTGACTCACACTCGCTCACACTCACTCTCACTCACTCTCACTCTCACTCACGCTCACTCTCACTCACTATCACTCACTGTCACTAAGGGTTCACGGCGGGGTCTACGGTTGCAAGACCATATAGACACTATCAACGACTTGCGCCGGTTCTACCACGTGCCACGCTTGCCTGTGTTCGACATTGGACACAGGAGAAAGAGGTCGTCGTGATGACAGCATCTTCAAACAAGATTCATGGGAAGGCAGGGCGAGTCGCGAGTCGCGAGCGCCGTTCCGACAGGCTCTACAAACGACCAGTGAGTGAAGAACGACGCAACCCGACCTTTTTTTGTCCACGTCGTGAGATGTTGGAAGAACGTGGTGATATCCTCCCATTGGTATACTTCGTATATGCATCCCCCAGCATTTGCCTTGGCCCTTTGGATTCACAAGGGCTACGAACGGCCCGGAGATGGAACGATTCAAACCGAGACGCGCTGCGGTAGCAGCGCTTCTCGTTTGCTGAGCTCGCGAGCCGGGAGCGGCTCCGATGTTGGGTGTTTTTCATCCGGAAAGAACTTGAAGCGACCAATTCTCTGGGAGTTCCACTGGTGGGTTGCAAGCTAGTCAAGGATATGTTGTGTCAGCTGCCTTCCTCCTCCGCCTCCTCGTCCTCCTTAACCATGACCTGCATTCACCTTATTTCACAAGAAAACAACCAAGCGTGGTTCATAGTATATAGTCCAGGTACCCCCTTAAGACTGTCTCTTTCATGGTCTTTCACCGCGGCCGGTCCTGGAAAGGACATCTGAGCTGCTCGGCATGGTCCTGGACCTATATACATTAGATTACATGTTTGTAAAGATAGACACTCCATGGGACTGGCATATTTACCCATTCACCCCTTTTCAACCACCTCAATGTAAATATTCCAGTCCCATGGAGTGTCTGGGGTCTGGATGACCCAATAACTCCGAAACGAAAAGGTGGGTCACTCCTGAAACGCTCGGATCCAGAGATCGCAGAGATCGAGTGGCAGCTTTGATGGCCTGGTGTTTTCCTCTCATGGAATACGTTCCTGTCGGAGCAACGAAGTTTGCAAGTCAAATACATGGTTTGTCAGCTTGCTGGTTGCAAGTCCAATTCTGATGTGGTGTTACCGGGTGAGACAGTGGCGGATGCTTTGCTTCACCGCCCTCTCCACCTGACCGGTTTCGCCGAGTCCGGTGACCGGTTTCGCCGAGGCACCGGAGGAGGTCACCCGGAGTCCCGAGCCGGGCTCGTGGCGCCCGGCTCCGCCCCGTGCCGCGCGGCACGGGGGCGCCGCGCTAACCGGTATGCCGTGGAGTGAGGAGAAAAGCCTCTTCTGGCTCTAAGATCCGAGAAGCTGTTGTGAGGAGCAGTCTTCTCGGGCATTTCTCCGAGAGATGTTCTGAAAACCAGCACCAGCGCCAAATATATGCTGAGCTAGGATGATGTTGATGTTCCTGAACTAGGCGAATTGTCTGGGGTTGAGATATGCATTTCTTTTCCCAGTGCCTTAATTTCTCCTTCTGGATCCACATACCTTCTCAGAAGGTATGACTGGGCCCTCGCACCTACATCATCAATCACCTTCTCAGGTTCGGTCTGTGATCCAAGAACAGATCATCCAGTTTGCAAGGTCGTTCACCTACCGGGTCATTCGTTCAGTCACGAGTCGGGTGCTGGCAGATCTTCCCAACCCGGGCGTGGTTCCGTGGAGACGCGCGTCTCGCGGCCACGATCCGGCGATCAGACCGGGCGGCCGTGGGTGCCGAACGAGCGGAGGTGGGTTCAAATGGGTTCAAACGGTTTTTTTCCTATCAAAAGCCAGTGAAAGACTTCGCAGACATGGTCAAAAACTATACAACTAAGCGCTATACACAACCTCTATACTTGAGGTCATCTTACTCGACCTCTTTTCGTTCTGAGCCAATGTGCACAGTCTCCAGCCTGTGGAGATGGAGATTGAGTAGAGAATATGTAGCTTCCCTCCAACAAACATGACAAGCATGGAAGTGTACCAAGGGGTGGTGTGGCTCGTCCCACCCAGTGAGTGGAGGTGACAGGGGCACCAGGAGGACCTCCATGGAGTCCGCACCCCGTCGAACGTGACTGCTGGAGCGAAGCGGACAATCCTTCGTTGGTAGAGGAAAAGGGTCTTTCCAGGGCCATGCCACGTAACCGTGATTGTTTCAGGGAGTGTGTGTGTTTTCTGTGATGTTTCTTTAGTGAGACCCTCCACTAACACTGGCGAAAGGAAGAGTAGACTAAACATGACAGACGTACTATATAAATCACAGTAAATGGGTTTCTTCCCACATCCCTTTGAGGCAACTCCAAAAGATTTGGTGTTTTTTGTTTTCCCATAAAGTCGATCGAGAATGGAGCTCATTTTCATGGGATGCTCTCTTGTTTGGGACCTCTCCGAAGGGCTCAAGATGCCACCTGCTTGTAAGCAGATACGAAGCATGGAACTTTCCACATGTCGAACTCCTGCCCTTTTTTTCATCGCAGGTCGATGGTTGATTTCGCATCGCCAACTTAAGGCAAAACAGCAAAACACACACAAAAAAAGCAACATTATTTTCCCGATCTATCTCTCTCTTTGTGTTTCAATACTACGTTATTTCAAAGACAAAATATATATTGTTTATTGTATATATACTGTAATTACTGTGTGTGTGTGTGTGTTCGCACTTCTAGAGGAGGTTGAAAAATCATTCTGCTAACGAGACTGTGCTCACCATCCAAAGGATTCTATATCAACCGCATCCGTAAACAAAGAGGCAAAAAAGTGAAGGACAAAACCAATTCTTATGAGAGATGATGAAAGATTCAATTTGCGCGCAGCTTGTACATTCTGACCAAACCTCCAGCTCCCCACCGGCGCCGAAACTTTTTAAGACCCGCAGAGGCCGGGCGAGTCTCTGTGGAGAAAATCAGGCATGTCCAAGTCGCTCACCGAGGAAAGAAGACCAAGGAGGTCAATGCGGACCAAGAAGGTCAATGTACATCAAGCATCATCGAGCCATGCTCGAAGCAGTTTTAAAAGAATGGATTTTAGTCCGCAAGGGAGTGACTGTGTGTGCTGGATGAACTAGAGGAAACCCAAATGGTGTGTTTGAGTTTTTTCGTGGTCGAAACTATTTTCCTGTTACTCGTAGGTCGCCGGTCGTTGATTGGTCTCGCATTGTTCTTGAGAGATATTTGACACACCAAAGTGCTGGACGTTCACATGTGAAGTTCCATGTTTCAGGATGGTCAAATCACTAGAACCAGACAGGGGAGCGCAGGTTCTTCCGGGAGAGAACCAGTTTTGCAACCGACCACATGCCAGCAAAGATTGTTCAAGAGTCCGAGCTAGGAGGTAAGAAACAAATCCACCGTGAGCAGAGGGATTGGTGCAGCTGCCCTTTGATAGACCTGGACAACCTGACCGTCTGAATGGAAGGAAACCACATCCCTTCATGTCCCACTGTTGACCCTGAAAACCTTATATATATATATAAACCCTGACAAGCTTAAACCTGTATGTATGTATATAGTTATAATCTATAATATGTCTTATATATCGATCTACAATGGTCTATCTACCTACATACATGCATGCATACATACATACATACATACAGACAGAACATACATACATACATACATACATACATACATACATACATACATACA